CCCAACCAGCCAATTGGTCCAGTTTCACTTAAAATCGATTTTATCGTAAAATTGAGAATAGAACGATTTAATCCATCTCTTGGCTTTTAGCTGTAAAATCAAATTTTAAGAAGTTCCATAAATATCCTGTCACCCTCGTCCTTTATCCTCTCCATCCTCCTGTCATCAAACAAATGGTTCCCTTAAAAATAAAAAAATTCGGAAGTCTAGTCCAATTAGTTTCTTCCCATGGAACCGATTCTAAATTTCTAATGGGAATCGGCTCGGTCCAATTCTCAAGCTATACGATTAAACCATTGTCAATATTATTAAATAATTACAGATTTGTTCTCCTAACCGTTGTAGCCAAAAGAACAATCTTCTCACTTCTGACGTGGCTAGGGATGGCAACGGTTCTATTCGGGGTCGGTTCGACTAAAATCATAACCGCACTATCAAACTTTTGGTCATCTCATAACCGCACCATAACCACGTAAGTCGGTTCGGTTAATAACCACAAAAATAAATTATTATTTATAAGTCCAAACTCCGAACGTCAAAGTGAAAAAAAAAAAAAAAGAAGTATGAAAAAACGTCAATAAAAACAACGAACAATATGAAGCCAATTTAGCAAATAATATCCCAAATGAAATTTGAATTCAATATCCTAACTTCCAAATGCAAAATTCGAATTTCAAAGGCAACATTATCAACATAAGTCAAGACTCTTGCTAACATAGGTCAATCTTCATTATTCCCCACAACTCTTACTAGCATGGAGAGTCAATGCTCAAAGTTAATTCATATATAGTAAATAAGAAACGTAACTAGAGTAATAATATAATCATACTACTTAATAAAAAATGATCTTAACTGAAGATCTAAACAAAAAAAGTACTTGTTCATCAATGTCCTCCTTACTAAACCTTGCACAAGCTCCGAAGTATGATGAAGGAGCAAAATTTTCTACACACAGTACAGAAAATATTAGCAATAAAAGGAAGTGGATGAATAACAAATATAAAACAATAAATCCTACCATAAATATCAGTCCAAAACCAATCCCGAGCACACATTAAAACTTCTAAAGTTTTCAAGTGAAGCCTATTTCTATGTGGACTTACAAATCTACCACTTGTACTAAAC